AGTGAACAGGGCAGGGCTTAGAGTCCATTGGTCTCTGCCTCCTGCTCATTATGCGCCCTGCCTGTGGCCATCGCGCCAGCCCTCAGGGCAGGGAGGGTGTGGAAGCCCTTTGTGCAGAGGAAGCAACATTCAGCCTGTTTCCTCAGTGTTCGGGACACTGGGGTTGAGGACTGACCCCCACGTGCTGAGTCTCGAGCAGGTCTGCACAGTGGGGGGCCCTCTTCCCCATCTGACCCCTGACCACACAGTGGGAAATGGTACAGCCAGAGCCTGGCCCCGGGTTTGGGGCAAAAGCTGTGTTTTCCCCACTGGTCTATAGGTGCCACGCTCATGGGTCTGCTGGATCCTTGGAGAAGATGCACTGTGATTGGTACCTCGAGATTCCTGGGGAGGGGCGCCTGGGTGGCTCAGCTGGTTAAGCATCTGACTCTTGATTTTGGCTTAGGTCATGATCTCACAGTTGTGGAGCCTGCTTAAGATTTTCTCTCTCCCTCTCCTCCCCTTCCCCTGCTTGAGAGCACGGTCTCTTGCTCTCTCTTAAAAAACAAAAACAAAAAAAAAGAAGAAGAAAGAAAAGAGAAGAGAAGAAAAGAAAAAGATTGCTGGGGAAATAGGCACCAGCAAGACCTGGACAAGATCTGAGCAAGGTCTGGAAGACACTAGAGCTTAGGTTACAGGGAGAGGGACATGTTCAGACAAGGCCCCACCTTCGAGCCGACATCTAGAGTCCCAGCCCCAAAGCCTCCTGTCTTCACTCTTTACCAAGTGCCACCAGTAACACTGGCCTCTCTTCCTCAGCTCTCCTCCCTCCCCAGCCTTACCCCTGCCCCACTGACAGCCAGGCTGCTGGTGAGAGCGGCCCTTCACGACACACACTGTCATGCACATGCCTGTCGAGCCTTCGTTAGCCCAGGGCGGGCAGTGTTCCAGTTTACAGCTGAGGACAGTAAGGGCCAGAGAGGAGAGCTGCCTTCCTTAGCAATGCACTCTTAGCCTTCTGCCCTGGGTGACGTTAACCCCTTCAAAGCCACGTGGACCATTAGATCTAAATGTGCAAAGGGCATACTTGTGGCAGTGAACACCTCTTAGGGCAGCTGGACTTCTCTCAATCCCTGGAAAGTTGTGGATACATTTTTTATGCATTCAAAAAGCAGCTGTTTATAAGCCTGAATGTTTCTCAGCCTGTGTGCTGATTTGTATGCAGTGTAAATAGGGTTGGTGTGGCCCAGGGCAGGGTGGGGCTGTGCTTGGATAGAACGCAGCGGATTTCATGAATGGTCGGACCCCAGGCCCTGCCCCACCTTGCTTCAGAGAGAGCCTTTTATTTGGAGAGCTGTGCTCTCCCTGTCCACCTTCCCATTCAGAGCCATTTTGTAGGCAAACGGGTGAAATTTCTTCCAGTTGACATTTGCCTGCTATCCTGTCTCCTCGTATTGTTCCTGATAAGTCCCAGAGGAGAGAAGCCTCTGCAGTTGCAGAGGTGATCCTGGTTTCGAGGGGATGGATTTCTCTGTGGCCCACTTTCTCCTGAACTTGAAGCCTGCTGGGGGGTGCTGTGATGTTTGCCCTCAAAATGCACGGGGGCCTCCATCCAGGGACCTGAAACCGAAGGAAGCGGGGGCAGAAGGAGAGGGACAAGATAGGAGACAACCGCTCTACCCTTTTACAGCCTGCAGAGTGAAAGCCAGTGTCCCTGTGGCAGATCTGGAGAGGGTGAGGCCTCATGGGGTCGGTGCTGTGGCTCCAGGACAGCTCGGCCCAACCAGCCGGCCGGGGTGGCTCTGACCCCACCTGTCTTGTTTCCCCGTAGACCTGGAGGCCTCATACAGCCTTACAGCTACACCTCTGCCTCTACTCAGCCCGGTGCTTCCCCCAACTACAGATGCCCCCCGAGTACCTGCCGGCCGGCTGGGCTGCAGCTGGGAGCAGGCACTCGTGGGCTCATGTGATGGGGAGTACTGCCTCAGGGGGTCCAAAAGTGGGTACGATAAAGCCTGTGCCTTTGGGAGCTACAGCAACAGAGACACCAGGAAGGAGCCACAAAAAAGATGTGGTCTCATGGGCTTCACCCTGCCAAGGGCAGGTCTGGAATGGGGAAGGAATAAGCTGTGTTCCCCCAGGACGGAGAACAAGAGAGTAAAACAAAGAAGGGAAGATAGTTGAGATGGAGGGCACAAAGCAAAGCTCTATGTGTTCCCGGCATCCTAAGGGAGAACATCAGAACAATTGGGAGTGAAGCAATTAGCATAGTTGTAGAGAGAATTTGCCCAAGATGAAATGTCCAGCAAAAGGCTGAAAATCCATTTTATTTTTTTAATGTATATTTTTTAAATTTTTTTTGGGGGGGAGAGAGAGAGAGAGAGACAGATCATGAGTGGGGGAGGGGCAGAAAGAGGTGGAGACACAGAATCCAAAGCAGGCTTCAGGCTCTGAGCTGTCAGCACAGAGCCTGACATCGGCTGTTTCCTTAACGGACCGTGAGATCATGACCTGAGCCGAATTGGGACACTCAACCGACTGAGCCACCCAGGCGCCCCTGAAAATCCATTTTAAGAGGCCCACAATGTCAAAGAGTTTTATTTATTTATTTATTTATTTATTTATTTTAATTTTTTTTTTCAACGTTTATTTATTTTTGGGACAGAGAGAGACAGAGCATGAACGGGGGAGGGGCAGAGAGAGAGGGAGACACAGAATCGGAAACAGGCTCCAGGCTCCGAAACCATCAGCCCAGAACCTGACGGGGCAAGTTCGAACTCACGGACCATGAGATCGTGACCTGGCTGAAGTCGGACGGCTGACCCAACGACTGCGCCACCCAGGCGCCCCTGTCAAAGAGTTTTAAATACAAGCATAGAGACCCGCAGAATTGGGAAGAGATGACCTGGTTGGCATGAGTCGGTTAAGCGTCCGACTTCAGCCAGGTCACGATCTGCAGTCCGTGAGTTGAGCCCCACATTAGTCTCTGGGCTGATGGCTCAGAGCCTGGAGCCTGTTTCAGATTCTGTGTCTCCCTCTCTGCCCTCCCCATTCATGCTCATGTCTCTCTCTGTCACAAAAAAAATAAATAAATAAACGTTGAAAAAAAAAATTAAAAAAAAAAAACTGGGAAGAGGCAGGTGCCCCACCTGTGCCCCAGTTGTGGGCGGTGGCGGACAGAATCCAGTGGTAGGGGTCCCAGGGTTCTGAGAAGAAAGAGCTGAATCCTAGGAGCCCATCTTCCTGCCCTGTGTGACGATGGGAGGCTAGTGCTGAGACGAGACCCCATGTGTCCTCAGTAGGAAATCCCTAAGATCTCGCCCATGCCATGGACACGAACCGGGGCGGTGATATCAAGGACTGGAATGGAATGGCGGTAGAGGGCCGGCCTCGGCTTTATGCCTGCATCCTCAGAACCCAATGGAACTGCACATCGTTGGGGCAGAGCCAGGCCAGTGCGGCCTCCTGAGCTGTCCCCTCTGCTCTCCGCCCCCCCACCCCCACCCCAGGAACGGGCGGGCTGCTTCTTCCATCACATAATCACATCACAGCAGGCCTGAGGATGATAGCCAACACATGGGGACGGTGCAGGGGAAGGCAGGGGCACCCAGCCCTGGCGTGGCATCGTTGGTGGCACAGTGGTAGCGAAAGTGCCACCTCCAGGCTGGTAAAGTGAGACTGTTCAATACTGGGTGTCTGACCTGCTAAGCCACTGAGCATTCATTCCACTGCTTGCTGTTCTTTACCGACGAACTCGGTTTGTTTGAGTTCTCTTAAAATAATAATGGTGCTGCCCCGTTCCATACCCACTGCATGGCTGGATTTCTAAAATATCGAGACACCGGGCCGGGAGAATTATTAACCTGCAAGTCTCCCTGCCGGGTGATGGGGGCAGAGCTGTGTCAAGTGCCAGAGTGATCCTCTCACTGCTGAGAGCCTTGAAGAGGGGCTTTCTGCATTTTTACAACTCCCGTCAAGTGCCCTGGCCACAGGTGGTGTTTATGCCGAAAGGCCACGTCAGGTGCCTTCTACGGTTCCTTCTATGGCAGCAAAGGTTCCGGCGTGGACCTGGCCTGAAAACCATCTGTGAAAACAGTGCAGCCAAACCCTCGTAAATATCTGCCCCCCTTCCCACTTCTCAGCGGGTGACCTTGGGCAGGTTACTTCATCCTCTGTACCTCGGTTTCCTGACTTGTAGCAGGAGGTGAGAGATCACAGCACGTACTGCACAGAGGTGTTACAAGGATGAGTAGGGTGGTGCCTGGCGTGCAGCGTGAGTGTGTGCGTGCACGTGAGTGAGACCTTGCATGCGCGTGTGCCTGCCGGAGAGAGACGGAAGGGAGAGGGGGCGATAGAAGGCATCGGGAAGGAGACAGACTGGTCAGAGCGGCCCAGGGATGCCACTGATCCACTTCAGCACAATCTCTATTTCCTTTGGTTTTCGTTTCATATTTGAGAAAAGAAAACAGACTCATTTTTTGATAGGTTCTGAACCTTCTCTGATAAAGAAAGAAAAAAGAAGAAAGGGTCCCCCCCAAACGCTGCAGAGGTTATCTCCAGGAAGTGAGGTTCTAAAAATGTTATGTATGTTTTTAGACACTTCTGTGGTTTTTCCCTTTCTCTTCGTTGCGCATATATTAGTTCTGAGATCAGATTAACCACCTCTGTATGAGAAAGCTGCGGTGTGTGCAATGGCACAGTCACAGTCAGGTGTGCCCGTTAGGCAGGAAAAGCCCTACGAGGCAGCAAGTGGGGGGTGGGCACGGGGGTCTTCCAGCCGGCCACCTCGTCCCCTCTCCTGCGGGGCTGGAGCCCTTGTGGAGCCCGCAGCCCCAGCCCGGTCCCCTCGGCGTCTGCCGCTGCGGACAGCCCTTGACCCCCTGTGTTCTTGGTTCTCTCTGAGGAGTAACCCGATGCTGATGGCTGCCAGGTGCCCAGCCGGTGGTGCTGAGTGAGGGAGCGGACCCCCTCCGTGCCCACTGGGGCCGAACCCCAGGCCCAGCTGCTCTCTGTCCCTGCAGGCCCCGCCGGACAGAGCCTGTGTGCTCAGGGCTGCAGGCCCAGATCCTCCGCTGCTACCGTGACCACCTACAAGAAGTACTCCTGTGCTCGGACCTGGTCAAGGCTTACCAGCACTGCGTGAGCGCCGCTCACAAGGTAAGGGCTCGCCCTGCACCTGGCCTGGGCTGCTGGGCGCACGGGGGCCGGGTGCTGACGCCGAACTCTCTCAGCCCGTCTTTGCGAAGTCAGACATGCCGACCTCGAGGCCTCTGTCTTGTGCACAGGGACGGAGTCAGGAACTTTGATTTCCTCTGCCACTTCCTGGTTCGGATGTTATGTCTAGCTGATCCCATGACTGCCCTCGGATAGCCGGGTTAGGAAAAGAGGGCCCAGGGGCCCTGGACCCCACCAGGCTAGGTCTGGGAGCGGCTCTGAGTAAGCTCTGGGTCCGGGAGCAGGTCTGGGAGCAGCTCTGGGTCCCACCACCTAGTAAAGGGTATGCCTGTGCCACCCACTTCTTACCTTTGAGCAGTTGGAAGTAGGAGCTCACGGGAAGGGCCCATGGTGCAGGGTCAGGGTCACGGAAAGGGCAGGGGCAATCCTGGGAAGGAGAAGAGCCTCTGGGTTCAGGGAGGTAGAAAAGTAGGTGCAGCCTGCCCGACAGGATGAGGGAGCGAAGGGTACCTCTTGGCCCACCCTTCTGTGCGGGTCTGAAGGGGCAGGCTAGCACCCAGCCTCTGGTGAGTGGGAGGGGGTCACGGTGGTCCCAGGTCTTCTACACCCCCCAGCCCTCCTGCAGGGCAGCGGTGAGGTGTCCTGGATGTGTGAGGATGGCAGTGGGCCTCCCCTGAGAGCTGGCCCCAAGGTCTTGCCCTCTTCCCCTAACCCTCCCAGCCAGCTCCCAACCCTGTCCTCCCACCTCCCCCCATTGCCGTTCCTCTTCTAGACAATTCCATCGCCCTTCCCAAGCCCAGCAGTAACTGCCCCAGGCTGGACCCAGGCCCTCTCTGGTGTTCACTTAGGGGTGCCTGACTTGGACCTCCCCAGAGGGCCGGCATGTTTGCTAGATGCACTGTAGGATGGGGCTTTCTTCCTGTGGAAGAGCCCCTTGTGCCCGGTAGGAGACAAACTGCTGTGGGTACTGGTGGCGGGAAGGCTGAGGCCGGAGGTCCGGTCTAGCTAGGTCCGGCGGAGTGTCTCTCCTGCTTAAAAGCGTGGCCTCGCCAGAGCCCTCCTCACTCTTCTGTCAGCTCGGGCCCCGTGCGGCGCAGTGTGCGCGTCTGGGCTCTGAGGCCCAGCCGCAGCGCCCGCTGCCCAGAGTGGGCTCTGGGACAGCCCGGGGCCCAGCAGCAGCTCCCTGTGGCACCAGGCGTGAAGCCTGCTCGGGAGATCACGTTTCCTCCCCGCCGTAGAGCATGCAAAGCTGTTTGCTCAATTTCAAGTTGAGCAGCAAAGACCCTGCCGGCAGTCCCTGCAGCCAAGAGCGGAGCCGGGCCAGTGGCCCTGCACCACGAAACGTGGGCCACGGGAACAGGTGGCCCTCTTGGGCCCCTTCACTTCTACCAAGGTGTTTGTGAAGGCGAGCACGAGAACCCTTGCCCAGGTGGGATCGGAGGACCATGGCACGGGCTTGCACACCGTGCACCTAACTTTCTACTGAGGGAGAGGCCTAGGGTCCTGCTGTGGCCTCCTTGATTCCCCGCAGAGCCCTCTGGCCGCCCCCCCCCCCGCCCCCCGACTACCCTCCATCTTTCCCTTCGGGCCCCACGGCCACAGAATTTTCCGCCCCGCCCCCAGCAGAATGTATCTTTAACAAACACATCTCACCAATATATCTTCATTGCACTGAGGCAAAAATGTGATTACGAAGGAAGACAGATTGCATTTATCTCCAGTGTGTTCTCTGTAGCTCTAGCACGCCTGAGAGAGGCTCTGGGGCACTGCCAGGCCTGGCTCCCTCCTCCCCGGCCCCCACCCCCTGGCGTTATTAAAGCCTAAATTGGAGCCCAGGCAACTGGCAGCAGCGGAGGCCGGCCCTGCTCTGACTGCGCGGCGTGTGCAGCGTTCCTTCGGGAGAAACATGTTCCACCGACTCCTGAGGCCCTCGGTGCCCACAGCGTACCCTGTTGCTGCCCTCTGCCCACCTCTGCCTCAGAAGGCTCCTGGTGGAGCCGGGATGGGGCCGGGGGGGATCTCTGATAGCGATTTGCTTCTCGAAATACCAGCTGGCAGGAGCCCTCATCTCTGGCAGTCAGGGAGTGGGTATCAGAGGCCCACCACCAGGAGGTGCCTCCCCAGAGCTCCTGGCGGCACCTGCGTGGTCCCTTCCAAGCCCGGGGATGTGTGCGTGCGTGTGGATGTGGGCAGCGCCTTGGAGGCAGGTTCCAGCAAGACGCAGCCTGATGGTGAAGGCTCTCACACAGCAGAGCCCGCTCTCTGACTGGTTTCACTTAGAAAACTCAGAGTGGTTAGGTAAGAAGGCAGGGGAGACCTTGGCGGGGTGAAGCAGCCTTGGGCTGGGGCCTGCCTGCCTGTCTGTAAAGGCGGTCAGATGAGCACAGGCTCCTTGTTAATGGGCCACCGGAGGCATGTGCTGAGTGGGCATGGAGACGAAGAGACACAGTCCCAGGTTGCAGGGACCAGCTGGGGGCACCCTTTCCATCGAACAGTCACACTCATGGGGCATCCCGAGGGCCAGGGGCCCTTTTAGAGCCGAGGCTCTGGGGATGCGCGGGGTTCCCAAAAGAGAGGGCCATGACTGAACTGTGACCTGTTCTCCTTTGCAGGGTTGAGGAGCAGGCCTCCATCCTGGCCCTGGCGGTGACTTGGAGCTCTGAAGAAGGAACCAGTGATGGGACCACAGTCCGCAGACCCCTGGGCCACAGCCATTTTCTCCTGGGTGCCTATGGATGTCTCTGTGCTTGGGGCTGCCATGTGTTTGGGAAGTAGAGGATGTGCTACTGTCCGAAAACAAATAAAGCAAATGTCTTTGTTTTCAGTCATTCTCTCGGCTGGCACACAGCTGCTGCTGCCTCCTCTCTGTCCATACCTGTGCTGGACCACGGCGATGCAGGCTGAATGAAACAGGCTGTTCCCCCTTGGGGAGCACTCAGCCTAGCAGGGGAGACAGATGTGGAAGCCCCCAATTATGCTGCAGTAGCAAAAGGCCGCCCAGAAGCAGGTATGAGATGAAATGAGGGGAATGCAGTTCTTTCTGGGGACGGAGTGGAGAGAGCAGGCCAGCTTCCTGACAGAGGCTCTGTCTGAACTCCAATGTAGAAGCTGAATGGATGACCGCTGGGCAAGCCAGAGGCTGGGTGAGTGGGACCCCAGATGCAGGGCTCAGGGAGCCCAGAGCTGGGCTTTGCAGAAAGCAGATCAGGGGCTGGGTGGGATAGGGGGATGCCAGGCCACGACGTTAGGGCTGAGTGACACCTCTGTGGCTCTCGGGGGAGGGTGGGCTCAAGTGGGGCAGGACTGAGTGCCAAGGAGAGCCCTGCAGGCACTTGAGGGCATGATAAGTGGGAGGCTGGTGGGCCAGGTCGGGGGACAGACCGAGGCGAGGCTTAGCAGCCGAGGTTAGCATGCCTCTGGATTTGAGTGGTATAGGGGAGAATCAAGGATGATTTCTAGACCTCTGGCTTGGGTGCTGGTGATTCTGGGGGCTGCAGTGAAGGACACAGGGATTGAGAAGTGCAGAGGACAACGATGTTTGGGACGTGCTCTGCTTAGTTGGGGTCCACACACTGGTCTGCCGGTCCTTGGCTTCTGGCGGGATCCCAGCTGAGGTGTCTTGACCACACCCGGGCTGCACGGAGCCTGGCCCAGGGCTGTGTGAGGGACGCAGCAGGAGCCTGAGATGGGGCTTCTGATTCACCAGCTGCTCTTGCTGGTGACCTTGGATTTCCTGCGAAAGTTCCTTTGGAGAGCCCCTCGCCATCTGGAGCTGAGAGCCTGCATCTCAACTCCGGCTTTGCAGCCCAGGCATCTCTGCTCATCCCCGAACTCTCACACACAAAGCTCAAGTGGGGGTTGAGGCTCGGCAGTGTCCAGCTGTCCGGGCAGGTAGCACAAGGCAGCTTTATTCGGCCAAGCTACATATTGGCTGAGAGGAAAAGAGCTTTGGGAGATGCCCTGTCTCCACGTTCTGGGTCAGCTTGCCAAAACACACAAGGAGGCATTTGGGGTGCATGCGGGGGTGAGCAGCCCTGGTGGGTAGCAGGGTACCCTGGCCTGAGCCTCTTCCTGGCCTCCCCCAGCAGCCCAAGAAGCCACTGGCCCTTTGTCAGGCCAGCACGGTGGGGTCACATGTCACCTGGATTATTGAGCTTAAGCGAAATCGGAGTCATCCTTCAGCTGGAAGTTGCTGAGGCCCTTTCAGGACTCCCTCAGAAGCCTCTGGTGTCCAGGGCTTTGTCCCACTTCCCAATCTGCCAGGAATCTCTCTCAGACTCTACTTTTCTACCCGGGAGTCCGTCGAGGGCAGCTGTGTGTGCGCCTCTCCATCTGGGCGTGTATGTGTGTGCATAGGTGCCTTTGTGTGTGCACATGTGGATGCGTATAAATATAGATAGGTACCTTTGTGTGTGTGTGTGTGTACCTATGCATCTCTGCATGTGTATAGAGGGTGCTTTTTTGTGTGTGCACATGCGTGTGCATAGGTCTGTGGACATCTGCCCATCTGTGTATGTGTGTCCACGGGTGCCTTTGGGTCTGTGCACACGTATGTGCGTGCACCCATCTGTACGTATGAACTGTGTTTGTGCAGGCAGCCAGCCACGCTCACCACCTGCTAATGCTCCCAGGCTCTCTCCTCCTGGATCTCAGCCCATTTTCCTGATTCCCCTCAATTCAGAACCAGCCTTCCCCCTTCCGATCTCCACCTCTTTCCTACTACTGGGGACTGGGGGGGGGGGG